CCCAGTCGGGTTTATCATTTGGGGACCTTTCAACGGACCCAATCGCTCCTTGACAGGTGCTTTACCTCGGTTCCCGGGTAAAGGACCGAGGCGACCTTTCAAAGGAACCCTGGATCTTGAAGGATCCGTGTTCTTACCTGACTCTGCCGGAGGTGTGGGGGCAAGGGGAACGGGATCTGGATTTGATGAAGGTTGGACAGCAACATCGTCCACTCTTGTCTTAGGCGCTGGCTTTGCCTTTAGCACCCACACCTGCTTGAGTTTTGACGGATTCTTGACCGTCTCTTCTTTTTGCATCTCCTTTGCTTTCTGCAGAAGGGCTCGGGCGTGCGCAAGCAATGCGCGGCGTTTCTTGATTCGCTCTTCGAGGGTTGAGCGAGTCCTCGTGACACGAACCCATTCGTTCGTTTCTGCCTTGGAGGAGGAGTTGGTCATGCGCCGTTGTTGCTCTTGGCGCTGTCTGGACTTCAGATCTTCATTGTAACGGATCCCGCCCATCGATTCTGCGGCCTTGGCCAATTGTCGTGCAAGGCGTTGGCACCGTCTTTGGCGCGTCCTCTTTGACACAGCTGGAGCACCTTCAACACTTGTCCTTACAGCGAAGGGAAGATCAAGATCTGCAGCTTCAACCTGCTTGGATGCCGCTGGGATGTCACGGGGCACGGGTGCAGCAACGGCGACGGGATCTTGGATCTTGGAGCCGGAGGTCCCGCGAGCATTTCTGGAAGATAAAGTCTTCCTACGCCTGTTTGGAGAGGCGGATCTGGAGGAGGAGGAAGAGAGGTACTCTTCAAACTTCTGCTGATCGAACTCATATTCGATCTCTTCATTCACCCGGATCTTGAATGCCGGTTGCGTCACGACGGCCTCGGCAGCGAGGCCGTTGGCTCCCACTATGGTCGCCAGTTTGTTTTCGTCGAAAGTTGCCTTCATCATTGATTTCATTAGAACTTTAATCATTTACAAATGAATTCAAATAACAAAATAAAAATTACAACTTTCTTGAAAATAAACACAAGATCCGTTTATCGTCTCTTGCTTGCGTGGGTCTTTGGCCTGTGACGGGGACGTCGATATCCGTGGACTACTTGGCAATCAGATCTGATCCAGAAAAATCGGGCAGAGCTTCGTCGATCCATGAGGAGATCTAGAAGCTTGAAGCGCCTATCTCGGCTAAAACGAGATATTTGCTCTTCTTAGGATTACCGGCGAAGGGTAATACTAAGGAACGGACACGGGTGATGAAGAATCTGATGAAGACCTCTCCTCTGTTGAAGCGCTCGACCACTCTTCACTGCAGCAGGGCTTCGCCAACTCTCCAAAAATCCAGATCTTCAAAAAATGAGGCCTTAGGTTGCTATTTATAGGCAATGGGGGCACCTAGGGTGCCTAGACACCCCTGGGGTGTCTAGGAAAAGCCTAGACACCCCTGGGGTGTCTCAGAAAATCCGAGACACCCCTAGGGTGTCTCGGAATTTCCGAGACACCCCTGGGGTGTCTCGGAATTTCTGAGGGGTGTCTCGGAATTTCTGAGACACCCCTGGGGTGTCTCGGAATTTCTGAGACACCCCTGGGGGTGTTTTGGAATTCCTGAGACGTCTGTTGAGGTGCATTCGATTGTTTTCGCCGTAAATTCTTCGTCCGAACTCAGATTTGAGTGATTCCAAGTGCGTTGGAAGCTTGACGAAGAGTTCTATCTGCTCCAATGGTTGGATTATCTGTAGAATGAACGAGACTCGAAGGGCGTTGTCCTTTTTGTGAACATCGCCGGGTTCCCGATTGGCCCGGGTCTTTGTTGTTCCGAAATCCTATTAGCTCACGTAGTTCGTCGATTCACTTCAATCGTTCATCGACGTCAATTGAACTCCTGTGGATCGGATAGTGACGTTCATCATCGCTCTTTAACACTGAACCGTTCGTGGAGACCTATAGGCAATTTTCGATGCCTACAGAGTTGAAAATAAGCATCTGGGACATAGTAAACTAATTAAAATTCAGCGGTTCTCAGCTTAGTAGCTTCGATATGGTTAGTCTCTTGAACTATTAACACAATTGGAATAATAGAAAAATTCCTTTTATTTTGCTGCAATACCAAGAACTTGGCAAAATTCAAGCAAAAAATGACATTCAAAATAAAAGTTCATAAAATACTTGTGTCTTGTGTGTTTGTGCCGTTGAGAATGCACATTTTGTTCTTTAACCATGCATTTGCAGCTCATATATGGAATGGATGGATACAGTGTTAAAATTTAGATTTTTCAGTTTCAAGTGGTATATAATGTTCCATCGGTATAATACTCAAATGTGAATATAATGTTCAATCAGCATAATACTCAAATGTTGGGTGATTACGTTATAAAAATAATCAAAAGATTAGCCTTAGCAGTTGCTGGTTATGGTAGTTGGTAAGAACGAAACTGTAGAATGCATGGAGGTAAGAGAGAACCATGCTGAAGTGTTAAAGTTGATCACGTTTTATGTTTTTGTAGGCCTCTTTCAATGTCATACTACTTCTAATATTTATCCATGTAGTAGTCTTTGTATTAGTTGTTGAGTCTTGGGGATTGTATCTTTTTCTTGAGATGTCTGTAGCTTACTTGGGTATGCCTGAGTTAATTTGTATATAGAGATTATTATGTTTTGTATGCTCATGGAAAATAGAAAGTTTTCTTTCACTGAAAAAAGATATAAACGATCTTTGTAGGATAATTAGTCTACGTGCAATACTAATATCTATGGAGATAGAAATACATGTGCAAGTAGAGAATCTTTAAACTAATTTGCCCAAGGAGATTATGCATAATCCTAAGCTTACATTGCCTCAATTAGGTTTTTTCTTAAGGCAACAGTTAAACTTTGAACTACTATCAACACTTGTTTCTTGTAGAATAACAAAAATTAAATTATCTTTAGAACTTTTACTAACATCCATCTAGCCTATAATGTCAGAACCACCCTAATTTGTCAACAAACAATCTAACAAAAAGTTGGTCACAGTCTTTCCTCAAGGCATGCTGGAAACCCCCTACAAATAAAAAAAAATCAAAGATGAAACATGAAATAAAGTGACCATCTTTTTTGGAATCATGATAACATACCATAGTGCAACAGCCATCATATGTGATGAAATTCACGCACAGGCACTAAGGTTCTTATCCCAAAGGAAAAGCCCAAAGAAGCTTACAATGTTTATAGTATTGCTCGCTTATGTAATAACTATATTGAGCTTCGAAAGAGAATTTAAGGAGAGTTGGTAAATGCATTAAACATGACAAGAGAGTTCATAATTTCAGCATAACTTAATTTGATTTAGGGACAAAATATGAGTTACATACCTTATTTAGAGCTCATTTGGGAAGCAGACCAGAAGGGCATAAAAACTATTGATTCTTCAAATATAGGGGGGAAACCATAAAATTCTACAAATTTTTAACTTATGTCCTTAATATCAGGACTCCTATACTAAAATTCATCAAAAACAATTCCTAGGCAAACCTAGAGCTGTTTTGAGAAATATGTTTATGTCTCCTTACACCCTACAATCCTCTAACAATCCTTTAACACTTTAAAAAAACAATCACATTACGCATTCAATAAATGCACAAACTTGTAATATTTAAAAAACAAAATATCACCGACTTAGTACTCATGAGAAACGCAAACCATGTCAATGATCATAGCCCAAAAAAATAGTTCTTCCAGTCCATGACCTAGTCATTGATCAGCGAACATAGTAGTAGATGATAAAGAAATCACAGTAGCTGAGAAATCATATGATCAATGTAAAGACAGAGAGAAAAGATGACATATAATCTATCAATTTCTTGATTTATACAAATCAGGCAACCGTCAATGCTAATTCTGTCAATCATCCAACACAAACATTCTTAAGAAAAACATTATAGTACATAATTTTTCTGAAGTATATGTTTGCACATGCAATAGCTTTGAGCATGTTAGCTTATATGTTGGTAGAATATTTAGTTTCTATATGCTGATCTTGTATCATATACTTCCCGATCACATACCTGCCTCAGGCTTCAAAATATAGCAGAGATGGAACTGATATTCTGACAATAATAGAAACTATTTTCTAACAATAGCCCTGACTTAGTACTCATGAGAAATGCCATGGCACTGAAATAAAATCATACTTTAGCAATCTTTACTCTTAGCCTTGCATCGTTTATCATAATCTTCCATATTTAAATCCACGTGGACTTGCTCACAACTTCTAATTCTCTTTCAATTTTTTGAACTTTGATACCCTAAACCTTATTTTCATGCAATGGATTCTTTATTTACATTGTCAAGAAATTTCTAGAGTAAGCAATGTAGCAACTCATCAAATAGACAAACTAAATATTTTCTGGATGTGGACATTCTCAAATATAAATGCAATCAAAAGGAGCATTGTTAGAAATATTCACATTCAACTTGTAAGAGAGATATTCACCAATTCAGATCTTAATTGGATTAAAATTGGAGCTTTATAAATGAAACAAAAAATATAACTACACCGTTGCGAGTAGGATAACAATGTAGAAAATTAAATAAGCTAATACAGATTATACAACTTCAAAAATATAAACAACATTTCAAATAAATAAAAAATGAATCAATAATGACATAACCGACCTAATTAGCATCATAAAACTAATCAGAGGATATACATGTTGGAGGGATCTGTAGTTATCGGCAATCTACAAATACCTCCTATCCAACCTCGGCCGTGACCTCGATGTGGAAGAAGTAGAGAGATAGAGAGCAACGAGAGACCTTAAAAGGGGTTGAAATTTACCTTAAATAGCAATAGAAAATAGATTGATTGTGTTAAGGCCTCTACCCTCAAAACAATCGCAACAGATTCGAAAAGAAATTCTTACTTTTCTCCAACGGCAAAAGCATCCAAAGACGACATATTTCGAGTGAAGAAGTATCGGCCGTCGGGCTGCAAGTCCCAATCATTAGTCTCATTAAGCAATTAAAATCTAGCAGCGATCAGTTGCCTCTTGGCTTCGGCTGCAAAAATTTCAAGCAAATCTAAATTTAAACATAAAACCTTCAAAAAAAGTAGGGTTAGGGATTTGGGGATCACCGGTGGCGTGGAACTGAGTCCAAGATTCGTTAAGGTAAAAAAAAAGTAGGGTTAGGGATTTGGGGATCACCGGTGGCGTGGAACTGAGTCCAAGATTCGTTAAGGTAGTCCAACAAATCGCCGACTATAGACGAAGACGACGGAGAGCTGGAGCTCTCTGCGGCGGCGCGCTCCTGTATAAAGAAGAAGAAGCAGAGAAAGGACCGTTCGATCTGAGGGGGAGAGAGGGTTTTTTTCCTAGGTTGTGAAGAGAAAATGAAGGGGGTGAAAGTTTTGATAAAGTGGAAGAGAAACAATTGGCTGAAACTGAAACCGCGGTTGCTTGGAAAAAAAAGAGCAGTTTGGAAAACGTGGTAACCTGGGAAGTTTGGGAAATGCGCTTTAAGAGAACGTGGGAGTACAGAGATTGTTGGTATGGTTATTCATTTTATTTTTTTCATTGTACACAACCTTAGCTTACTATTTATTTTAACTTTTTTGTTGTTCTACTTTAGTAATAAAGAAGTAGATTCATATTCTATAAGCTTGATAATTAGTAATAATTGTTTGAATGATTGTTTAGTTATTTTCATTGAGATATAGACGTATTTGGTATGATTTAGAATGACTTGATTATGCAAATATTTCATAATATGAAACTCGTTGAGGAAAATTGTAAAATGTCTTTCTTTTGGAGTTAGAATTTATTAAGGATTTTCTTTTAATGGATTTATAAATATTATTATTTATTTATTTATAACTTATTGCTCCCACTATCTCACAGGTTTTGGCTCTGGCATTGCATCTCACCCTTCTTCCTCCTCCTCTCTTATCTCAATAGTGATTTGCATATAGGAGAATGAGGGCAAAAAATGGGATAGACAAATAGGATGGAGGTGGGGTTAGTTAGGCTGGTGAGGAGGTACTTTTGTTGGTTAGGGTACAATTTGAAGAGAAAGTATTATGGAGTGATTGATTGAAAGCCGAATCCACTCAAAAAGTAGTTTCTATATATTGAAAAAAAGTTAAACGTGGTTTCTATCAATTTGACCTATATTAAATGTGAGTTAAGCCGAATCTACTCAAAAGGTAGTTTCTATATATAGAAAAAAATTTAAACGTGGTTTCTATCAATTTGGCCTATTTTTAATTCGAGTTTCAGACAAAAAACTAATCTTTATCTAGCTCCTATCATTTGCTCATTTTCAACCTCTTGCTAAAGTATTAGTTGGGGTGTTTGACGGGGCGGGTCCAGCCCCACCTGCAAATCTGAGTCCGGTTGAGGCATGGCAAAAGCCCTTGCCTGAATGCGGGCCTGGTTGTGCTGGGCTAAGACCAGGTGTATCTGGGCCAAACCGATTATTTTAATTTCTTTCTTGCTTTTTTCCCCGCAACATCATGTAAATATTTGCAGCAAACAAATAAAGAAATCACGTAGAAGTTTTATGAAAAAGATGTCAGCTCTTTATAAATAATTTTCTATTCTTTTTTTTACTATTGTCAACTCTTTAGATCTTCCTTCAAGGCAGCTACTCATTCAATGCATTAGCATCTCTTTTTAAACCTTCACAAATCTTGCAAGCACATTACCGTCTGTATGATAGATGGATCCAGCGATATTTTGTGGTCATCAATCACCATCCTAATATGTTGAATGTGCATTCCGAAGCTATGATAAGGATCTGCAATATTAGTGAATCACAAACCATGATAGAAAGCATAGAATATGAAGTAATTCCATATATTCTCCATCATTGCAAAGTATCAAAAGTCGGCTCATTATCTAGACATGCAACTAAAGGAGCAGATAAATATTATTCAAATTCAGAAACTTCCATTGTGGATGATGATCCATCACTGTCACCATCATTACCCTAATAGTTAGCTTACTTAACTTCCAAAAAAAATCATTACCTTTACTCAACTAGAGCTCCCAGGACTTGGGGCTTGAGATCTTCCACTGTATCTAGCATTATACTGTTAGAAGTTTTGACCCAATTAACCCATGTGCTAAATGACAAATAATAGAATTAATTGCATATTAAGAGAGAATAAATTGGCTCCTAATGTGATATTATTTAGAGCTGTTAATGGTCATTATTCTAATTAATGGGTGAATTAATTTGGTTTAATTTGAGGTTGATTTGGGGTGGAGGTGATTGGGAGAATGAAGACTCTATAAGTAGTGTGGTTCTTTGCTAAGAGAAACACAACAAAAAAGATATAAACCCTTTCACCGGAGCCCCCAAAATATCTTATATTCTCCTTATAGTTTCGATATTGGTATCAGAGCGTATATAGATCCATTCCCTTCTTTTTACCCGTAAGAAAAAAGTCAGTTTCTTTTTCTTCTCCGATAGAGAAAAGATAGTACTTGGCTCACCACAGAGTTGACTCTTCCAAGTTCATACTATATATTATAGTTATATATTATATATATCTATATATTATTATATATTATATATATAATATATATATATAGAGTTGCATAGCAGAGAGCAGAGGATGTTGATCTTATGTCAACTTTAAGTTGATTTATTATAAAGTTGAACAAGATATTCTATATATATATATATATATATAATTTATATATATATAATATATATATATATATATACTATTATATATATATATTAATATATATATAATATATTATATATGAGAAAAATTGGAGTATGCTTGGTACGAAGCACACATTTTGTGATTTGATAGTGAGGTTATTCTCATCCACTCATTTCCAATTCAACGACCTCATCGAACCCATGTAATGTCGGACCCGATTTCAATGAGTGAGGTTGAATATGCCATCTCACTTACAAAGCCATAAAAACTTTATCTTCGATACTAAGCATACTCATTTCTCCTCTTCTCTCTTCTTCTCTATTATATATATTATATATACTATTATATATATATTATATATTAATATATTATATGGTTGTTTATCCACGACCACCGTCTTGACCTCATTATTCGTGTCCACATATTTCAGACACTGGTGGAGTGTAGAGGTACTATAACATTACTATGGATCTAAGGTCGACCCAATGGTAAGTTATAAGAGGTCTCTGCATCAATCACATAATACGTGACTTTAGACTTTAAATCTCCAAGCTGGCACTTTACTCAGATTTTACCTAGTGGTCTGGATCCATTGGTGTTGAATCCATAGATAATAGTACCTGTGGAAGCCAACATGTTGGTGGGGATTCCGAAATGATATATCAATTAGAGTGGCATGACACTGACTGCAAAACCCGAATCAACTTGGATTCGGTTGATAATGCTTGAGCCAATGTATCCGGTGAAATACAAAGGTCTGTCATGCTTTGAGTTTCTCACTTGCATATCCTCCCGACTAAAAGTGATACAAGGGAACTGTCTACCTGCCAGGTTGCAGTGTTGAACTAATGGCTCTGACTCTTTAGCGTCTTGCTTGATTTGAGTAAAGAACACATCAGAATCAGCCAATGCTTCTGGTAAAGTCTCCCTGGTGTCATTAGAAAGACACAACAACTCATAAAGTATAATCCTCATGGGGATGTTGGCTAATTAAGCTATAATGTCGAAGTGGAATGGAGCGTTTGAACTTTCCGTTTTTTCTCTTCTAATGGGTTGATTGAAACAAGACTGCATCAGAGCTTGAATTTCTTTATGTTGAGGCTCCTTTTGTTTCGCCTCAGCTTCCTTCTATTTAGTAGTTGGCTGCTGCTGGGACTTCTCAAGGTTTAGGAGGAGTTGAAACCACCCCCAACTCAGCCAGACTTTTGGCATTCAGGTTGGAAGCCTCTAAGTATTTGTACCGTTATTCGTTCTCGCTTCTGGTGGCGAAACCCGACTCTCTGTTGGCTACAAAGACTTCATGCTTGTCTTTAGAAAGTGAGAGGGTTGGGATACCTTCGTCATCTTTCTTTGGGATTGCTGAGGCAGGACAACAAGACTTGCCCTTACTCTTGGACTTCTTCTTGGAAGAGGATACCACCCATTGTTCATCTTTGAGCAAATCTAAATGTACGCAAATAATTTCACCATTAGAGGCCATGTGTGGCACAAACCCCTTCTGACGTTGCCCATGCGGGTCATCATTAACCATCTTCATCTCCACCTTCAATACAAGCTCTAGCTGGAACAACGATAGAGGAACAGAGTCGAAACTGATGGATACTAAGTTCAGACTCACTTTCTTTTCCTTTGGTTCCGCAGCTATGACGTCAACGTCGATTAAAGCTTGGATTTTGTCTTTAAGGAAATAACACACCTTGGTGGGATGATGGACCCTTCTGTGATACGCATAATATTTTGGATCTATGGTCCTTTTAGCTTCCTCTTGATCTGTGATCAGTGGTAGCTTGATTTTACTATTGTCCAGGAGGTACTTGAATATGGAAGGTACCTCATCTTCCTTGAAGGAGTATTCCTTTGGGAATCTTGGTTCTGAAGTTCTTTGCTGCCTTTGAGATTGCTGCGCTTGATGGTGCCATTGAAATGATGACTGTTGCGATGATTGTTGTTGCAGTTGTCGTTGGGAGGTATGATTCGCATCTACTATAGTTGCTGGCACCTTCCCTCTACCACGACGAACAAAATTTTGTTTCGGAGCGTTTGCTATTGGCTTGGCTAGCCTCTCTCAAGCTTCTTTCTCTTGAGGAACCGTTCGGATTGTTCTCCACGTACTTTCAATTCCTTTCAAGTTTTGGATGGCACCACTCCTATGGCTTCTAGTACACCCAAAGAAAGATTATTGTGACAAGTCTAGAGTATAAACTCATCTATAACTGGGTCTCGACAATTCATTATCTTGTTTCGGAAGCGCTTAACAAAGTTGTCGACTGACTCTTTGTTCTTCTACTTCACATCTAGAAGAGTCCCGATTGACACTTCTGGGTCATCATTGAAGAAGTTACTGAGAAATATGCTTTCCATGTCATCCCAGTTGCTGATGCTCCCTGGCTTGAGATGTCGGAAACCAATCGAAGGCGACCCACGAAGGGTGCCTACGAATGACCAGACCATCAAGGGTTCGTGCCTAGAGATCATCCCCAAATAAGACTTGAAATAGATTAAGTACTGAGTAGGTGAGCCTCTCCCATCAAATGGTGCGAAGTTAATTAGATTGAACATCGTCGGGTATGGAATTGACTCCCACTCTCTTGGGTATGTACACGGAATGCCCGTCTTCTTCACCTATTGAGCCGACATTAAAGCATTAACTTTGCTCTTTAGGTCTTTCATCTTCTTATCCTC